ACAACAGTGATGGAAACAGCAATAATGTGAAAACCGGGGTCTAAAGACCCCTGGTAATTAGCCGGGTCTTTCTCAATTCATGTGAAGAATTATCAACAGACATTCGAATACTTGCTTCATGCTACAGGTGACGGTTGGCGATCATCATTGAGCTACTATATAAGTAAGAGAGTGAGAATTTTCTGTACAAGAACCGATATTAGAGTTTCTCACACAATGTCATAAGTATGCCTCAGGACGCCATTGGGATTTACTTGGCCTTGCTTCCCCTAAGAATTATTTCGTGCATAAAGTGACGAAATGCTGAGATTGCGCTACATAGCCACGATCACCACTAACCCTTCAAGGCAAGTCAGGTCTTCCGAAATTACATTTTTTTCAATTTAGATTGTCGACGAGTATTTTATGACACTGCAATCGATGATGATACTTATTTCCTGTGTGTCTGTTTAGAAACCATCAGTAATTCTTAAACAACAACTTTAATTATCCTAAGCCGCCAATGCTTATAGCAACAATACATTCTGTATGAATAACCTTTTGCGAAGCAAGGCTAAGTAAAATTCACTGGCATTTTATGGTGCCTTGAGTTCTTAATTAGTTATTACTGCCTGTTTCATAAACTACTGACAAAGAAAGTAAGTAGCGATATTAATTGTACTATCAACTAGCAACTGTTCATTTTATCATAAAAAACATCACAACTCGGTTTCTCATTGTGTAGAGGTGCTAATTATGTGCGGAAGAGACCGAGAATACAGTCTACCATATATAAGGGGCCTTTTGGAAAAATTGCCTGAAGCGCAAGGGGTAGATGTACAGAAAAAAATATAAAAATATAGATATATAGACAAGTCTTAGACTTACTTTAAGGTTGCTCTGAGTCAAGAAGACGGTCTGACTAGGCCAGACTAAAGTCTGAAATATATTAGCTAAGGCTAATTATCCCCTTATAACTTCGATTCGAGACCAGTAAGTGCAGGAGGCTAAGTAAAATTTAATGTTGAATTTCTTGTGAGAAACCCAAGAGCTTAAAAAAATTTAGGTCGCTTTGCTAATTGATTAAAAGCAGTCGAACTTTTGCTAATTTCCATATTAATGAGATATATTAACCCTATTTCGTGAAGGTGAAGGACTGAAGTTTGAATTTTCCCACTTGATATGAGTAAAACTAACGTTTCTATTGAATTTGATAGAGCCCGCTACACAAAAGATATTCTCATCCAGGCTGGACTGAGCTGAAGATCCGATCCTGCCTGAACTGGTCTCATCAGCACCCTGAGCAGACTCGAATCGTGATTGTGCAGAGTGTAATCTCAACACGTCAACCGCTACGCTACAATGCCACGAGGGCCCTTGGGTGACAGTGCAGATGGATGAGAATACGTTTTGGGATGCAAGGCTATGCAAAATTCAATGGAAGTATAAGGTCTACTCATATAATTCTGGGAAAATTCAACAGCCAGTCCTTCATCACCTTAACGGAATAGGGTGAACACATTTCACATAAATGATTAAAAATAACTACGCATGTCAAAGCAGAGCATCACCTTTTAAGATTCGTGGCAAAGCAAAGATTTTGGCTGGAACCCGGTCAGAATGTACATGTGTAGCTTCGAGGGCTTTGGTGCAACGTTGACCTCGAGCTTGATGGTTAGATCAGGGCTTGAGTATGGAATTCATGTGCCCTTGTGAAAAGACCTGCTGCAACAGTGTGTGTGTGAGTGTGTATGCGAATGTTTGAAACATTTGAAACATTTGATCATAACCGAATTCAATGCTACAACTTTCCTTTTGGCACTGTCACCAGCTTAGTGAAATGGGTGGTTTTAGGTGGAAAATCGTAAAAGCCATCTTTACTTTAAGGGATCATCTAGGGTGTGCATGTGAGCCTATTCCAGAATACAGAATACCAGCTCAGCATCAGAATGAAGACTACAATTTGGCACAGCAAGATGGCCTGACACGTCAAGTCGACTGTAGCCTGGCAGCAAAAGGGAAACACTGTTTCGTCTGAGATCAGAGTCCACAAGAGAGAGCTACCAGGTGTCAGTTGTACTTGATTCAAGGCTAGAAACACTAGTCCCCTAGCAATTGCTCCAAGTGAGGCAGCAGCTTTGCTGTAGGCAAAACGATTATACATTTTGTCAAAAAGATTGATTGGGCAGGAAACTTGTGTGGCTACAGACAGACTTTTTGTGAAATCACTTAACACAACAAACATAACTCCTTTCTTTAGTGAGTAGGCTGTAGAGACTACCAGTAAATCGGATATATGAGTTGTGTTCACCCTATTTCGTTTAAGATGATGAAGGACTGGCAGTTGAATTTTCCCACAATCATATGAGTAGAGCCGACGATTCCATCGGATTTCACATAGCCTTGCTTTCCCAAAAGGTGTTCTCATCCAGGCTGAAGTGGACTGCACTTTCGACCTCGCCTAGGCCCTAGCAACAGCCACTACGCCACATTGCCACGAGTGTCTTTGGTCACAGGGCTGATGTGAATTTCTAGGAACGTAAGGCCTTTTCCATATCGGCAATCCCGACACAGAATGTGTAGGGATGAGGGCACTCGTGGCAATATGGCGTAGTGGTTAAAGTGTCGAGATTACACGCTGCGTCGTCATGGTTAGATTCCTGCTGAGGGTCGAGGCGAGGTCGAGATTGCAGTCAGCCATGAATGAGAAAACCTTTTGGGAAGACAGAGCTTTGTGAAATTCAGTGAAAATGTCAGCTCTACTCATATGATCATGGGAAAAATAAAACTACAACTCCTTTACCATAATAGGATGAGCACAACTCATAGAAATAACTCCTGCAGAGAGTTCCCTAATGCCTACATTTTGAAGAGGTGTGCATACGCGACTGAAATGTATTGTTCGAGGATAGACAAGGAAAATGAGCATACAAATATCTACCATAGCTCCGGGAATTCCATCCTTTCCGGGCGAGCCCCTGGGACCCACGGCCCCCGGAAGCCCTTGCACACCCTTTTCTCCAATCTCCCCGCGTTCCCCATTCAAGCCAGGGTCCCCTTGTGGACCGTGTTGACCCTGTGCCCCGGGGGCGCCAACAGGTCCCGGGGGACCCTCGGTACCGTTCATTCCGGGCGGCCCAGGGGAGCCGCGGTCGCCTCTCGAGCCGGGCAGACCACGCTCTCCTATTGGGCCCGGGAGCCCGGCGGCACCTTTGTGTCCAGACGCACCGAGACTGCCGGGAAGGCCGCGTTGTCCAGGGTGACCAGCAATGCCTGGCTTGCCAACGGGTCCATGACGACCATCTTGACCCCGGGCACCGGGCGTACCCACGGCGCCCTGTCGGCCGGGGTCTCCGGCAGGTCCAGGCTTTCCGGCCAAACCAACGGAGCCTGAAGATAAAATAAAACAGATTTATACATTTTATAGGCTGATCTTAGAGACTACTAATAGATCATATATATGAGATATATTCATCCCATTTTATGTAAAGTTATTGTGATCCAAAGGATGAGGGAAACCTCTAAAATTTAAAACGCTTACGCTCTGAAGCGTGATATAAGGTTGGATGCCACAGGACAAAAAACGAAAAGGAGGTACTATCAGAAAATTTCCTATTTAGGACCGGTAGAAGTACAGTCCTAAGAATGAAAGTCAATTCTTGAAGGCTGCGCGTAATAAAAGAGTCCAAACTCCGCGAGTCACAGCGGACGAGAGAAAGGGAATGAAGAAAATGTGGCCGACATAGACAGTATATTGTTGCTTGAAATACTTTTGCGTAGATTTGCATGTCATCTGATTAGCTCACGAGAGAGGCATGATGAGATGCCAAGCTTTAATTGGTCGATATGAGATAAAGTTAGGATTAGTGATACTCTCATGTGGTCCGTGTCGAAAGGTAGTCCTTTAATACAACATTGTTGACCCTTAAATGTACTAAGGTAGCTGCGTTTCGAAGTGGAACTTCAGAACATTGTTCAAAGAGAAATTAACACTTTCTTAGCCAGGCCGTCATTTCGAAAATTTTTCGAACATCTCTCCAGATCAGACTGTTACAGGGTTTTGTACCCATTTGGTAATGTCTTTGCAGGGTAGACTTATCCGCATTTTAGCAAAGGCGAGACATCTTCATTCATTGGGGGGAATGTCGATGAAGCAAAGTTACATTTGCTATAACAATAGATCACATAGAGGTTGTTTGACCTTGTATTCGCAACATGGTCATATTGGTAGGAAGACTTAGAGGAACGCACCTAG